GGGGGGAGGGCTGGAACAGCCCGCTGCCCATGGTGCATTGCTCCAGCTGAGTTGGGCAGAGCCTGCTGCACTGAGGGGTTGCTTCGGCCCAGCTGGATTGGAGCGCCCCTCTGCAGCATGGCACAAATGGCCCAGCCAGGCTGAAGCAGCCCCCCATCCACAGTGCAGGCTGCTACAGTCAGACCAGGCATGGGTTAACCTGCTACTCTGGTAAGCATGCTAGTAAGGCAATGCTTACCAGTTAACTCTTTACATCTATATTCTCTAGCCCACCTCCTCCCAAGTGTGGCCTAGATTAAGATAATTAACCTTAAAAAAAGAAACCACCACTAATGAGATTGCACCACCTCCTTTAGTAACCTATTCCAGTACTTAACCATCTTTGAAGTTAGAAAATTTCTCTGAACATCTAATCTTCCACACTGCAGACTAAGCACATTACTTCTGTCTTACCCTTTGCAGACATTGAGAGAAACTGATCTCCATCCTCTTTTTAACAACCCTTAATATATATGAAGACTTATCAGGTGTCCTCTCCCTCCCCTAGCCTGGACTTGTTTTCTCAAACCTAAACATACCCGGTTTTGTTTAAACCACTGTTCAAAGTTCAAGTTTTCTAAGCCTTTTATTATTGTTGTTGCTCACCTTCGGACTCTCCAGTTTGTCCATATCTTTCAGGTGTGGTACTCAGAACTGAATATAGTACCCCAGATGACACTTTACTAGTGTCACATATAACAACAAGTACCTCTCATGTCTTACATATGATAGTCCTGTTAATATACCTCAGAATGATATTTGCCTTTTATAACTGCACATTACTGACATATTCCATATGCGAACTACTATAACCCCTTTCTAGATCCTTTCCAAAAGTACTACTGCCTTGTTTTGTATTTAATTTTTCCTTCCCAAGTGTAAACTTTGTACATGTCTTTATTAAGTGTCATATTGGGGATTTCACACCACTTCTTCAATTTGTCAAGGTCATTTTAAATTCTAATCCTGTCCTCAAAAATGCTAGCAACCTCTCTGTGCTTGGAGACAACTACAAATTTTATAAGCAAACTCTTCACTCTGAAAATAGTGAATAGTGCCAAACCCAGGAGAGATTGTTGAGTGATTCCACTAGCTAAATCACCCATTTTGACAGTGAACCATTGATAACTACTCTGAGTACAGTCTTTCAACCAGTTATGCACTCATGTTCTAGTAATTTCAATCTAGACGTTTTCCTAGTTTAATTAGAAGTTTGTCATGAGGATGGACATATCAGTTCTGACCTATCTATCTTCGCAATGCCTCTAAGATTTCAGATTTAGAAAATATATGCTAATCCCGTTATATTTAAAATCATTGTCTTTTTTTAAGCATCAATGAATATTTTAAAAATGTCCTATTACTAACAGTACAATGGCAATTAAGAAATAGGTCACAGCAGGGCTAACTACTTGGAATTAAATAATATAAGTGCCATCTGCACAAAAAAACAAAGAAAAACCAATTGAATTATAAATTTCCTAACAAACCTTCCATAAACAACACAGATAAAAAATAAGAGCATTGATCTGAAAACTTACCCTTTTCATTCAAGAACAGGAAACATTCCCAGGTACAAAAAAAAAATTCTCAAATATTAAGTTCAATTCTCTTCAAGGCAAAGCGCGACATAATGCTTAAAATATTGAAGATAAAATCCCAAAGGATTAACATACACC